GAAAAGCCAGCTCCAATGATCCCGGATGGAAATATGGGTTTTGGCCAAATATGAACAAAAAAATCTGGAGTGTACATTATGCCCCAAACAAATAAATGGTGGCATAGGACGGTTCAATCGTGTGTGTGTGTATTCATGTTGGGTTAATGTAGATATATATAATGTTAAAATTTTCAATACTAATTGTGATTTGTCAACTAGTCAACGACTAGTCTACGACTAGTCGCCTAGTCCACTAGTCTCCCCGTCACCGACTCGACTTGACTTGTAGACTTAACAACCATGGTTACAGCCATGAAGCGCGTTCTGCGCTACCTACACGGAACACCCACCCATGGCATTACCATATCACCTTCTCAGATGGATCACATGCGGGCATACTCAGATGCTGATTGGGCTGGTTGTCCAGATACTCGCCGGTCGACATCCGGTTACTGCATTTTCCTTGGCGACAATCTCATCTCTTGGTCCTCTAAGCGCCAGCTCACCACCTCTCAGTCCAGAGGCAGAATATCGAGCTGTTGCCAATGCCGTCGCTGAGGTCAGTTGGGTACACAATCTTCTTCTAGAACTCTGGCCACCTCTGACCCGCTCTACACTTGTCTTCTGTGATAACATCAGTGCAGTCTATCTCTCCGCCAATCATGTCAAGCAGCAGCGCACGAAGCACATTGAGGTTGACATTCACTTTGTGCGCAACAGAGTAGCCCTTGGTCAGATACGAGTCCTTCATGTACCTTCTTCCCTACAGTATGCAGGCATCTTCATCAAGGGACTACCTTCCATGGTCTTCTCCGAGTTTCGGGATTGTGTGGGCGTGCGGCGATCTTCATTAGTACCGTTGGGAGCATGTTAAATATATTCTTACTATATTTAATATTATTGTCTTTTAGTAGCTACCATATTTGTATAGGGTGTATTAATTATTATTTCCTATTGTCATTAGAAAATCTTTGTATATATACACATGTAATCTCTCCCATAATAATTTATTGGAAATTATTCATTCTAGATAGTTAAAAGTGGATCATACCAATTTAATAAAGTGGTACTCGTACATAATTTAGAAAAATGACATGGGTTAAAATAACGCAAAAGTGAGAGTATATTACCACTTACCAGTGACGGAGTAATTGTATTCGGGGGAAGCAAAAATGATGGCATCAGCTTGAAGGATTTTCCGGCGGAAGTCCTCCACCGCCGGCGGGTAGGTTCCGTCGACCTCGAGATCGGTGTTCAGGAACGGCAACGCCGATATATCCAGGTACTCTATCTCCGTCCCCTTCAACCATTCCTCGCATATCTCCATAGCTACAACCATACTTAAAATCAACCCAATCAGAATCCGAATCTAACAATCCGATCTCAATTCTTGTAAACTGAATACCGAAATTGAACCGATTGTGGAAAACAAAATGCTCTTCCCGCAGAGAGCGAGAGACTGCTGTATACTAATCTGGATCTAGTGATGAACGCCAAGACGAAGACGTGGGAAGAAGAGTTCGGTACCTGCGCGGAGGAGGCCGCGGTTGAAGGAGCCTTTCCGCAGAGAGCCGCAGAGGCCGGCGATTCTGATGATCGGTTGAGTAGCCATAGCTCCTAGCTTCAAGCGAGAGAGAGAGAGAGAGAGAGAGAGAAGCAAATTAAGTTTGGATGGTGAAGAGATTGGCGGTTTTTAATGGTCAAAATTGATTAGTAATTAGTTTTTAACTTAAAAGTCACTAAATAACACGTTTTAGGACTTCTCCCCTGGCTTGAGTGGTAGCAAGCCCACTCTTCAGGATTCATGGGGAAGTTCACCCAGGTTCGAGCTCCAGCGAAGGCAGCAGCATTGGCTCTTTGTGCGTCATTAGCTTGAGAATAGTATGAACAGATACTACATTGTAATAGAGTCAATAGCATTAAAAAAACACGTTTTAACTTTCCATGTTGTGATCTTGATGTGATTAAATAAAGTGAATAGTGTAAATAAAAATGGGGATATGATGGAACATTTATTAAAGATTTGGTACTAAAATAGAAAACGAAAAAGAAATTTTTGAAAAGTCCAAAAATAAAAGTGAGAAAAAAACTAAGAGACGGAAAGAGTAAGATTTTTTAAATTTAATCTGTTTGAATATAAAATTATACGAACTTAATTGAAAATTAAAATTTCCAAACATGACCTAAATTAACTAGTTGTGGCAATAAAATTTATTAGTGATCCAACTTATTCACCTACACTCTTAGGCTATGTGTTATAGTGGGGGTTGAGGTCTGAGGGGATTTGATGGTGTGTAAATGAGTATGGTGTGAAGTGATAAAAATATGTTTTGTGATAAGTGTGAAGAGATGTGAATATTTGTTAAATTTTAATTGGTTGAAATATTTAGAGTCAATAGTATAATAATGATGATGATGATGGGGGAGTGGGAGAGAGAAGCCATCACGGCAGTGATGATGGTCACTTGAAGAGGGTCAACGCCCCTATCATGCTTCATATCCTATATATATATATATATATATATATATATATATATATATATATATATATATATATATATATATATATATAAAGTTAGGTTCAATTCTTGGAGTGTTGACATGTGGCATGCCACATAATCATCCACATTTGCATTCCGTGATGAGATGGATGACTTTTATTGGTCCATTTAATTATTTAAAAAAATCTTTTAACTCATTTTATTGTATAGTATTACATTCAATAAATATTATATTTTAGTATTAAAAACATTACTTTAATTATACTTTGTATAAAAATGTGATTTTTCTAACAATTTTATAAACATATATATCATCATTGTAATATATATATATACACACACACACACATACATACATTAATTAGTCGATTTTTTATTATAATGTTTTATTAATTAAAACCATTTTTATTAGTACATCATTCAATAATGGCCATTAGTTTTGTATAAAAAATTTTTTAAATAAACATACCAATATATATTCCACCAGTTTAAAACATATTCTGTTCACATAATTAAATTATATGTATAAAATATTTTTTTTAAATTTATCGATGTTTTGAAAACTAAAGTTTTATATGATTTTTAAAAACAATAAATTATTTCTCTTTTACTACTTTTAAAGAAAATACTTATAGAATTTTTAGTGCATGTACATCTATATTTAAATTATATTATTTGAAAAAAGATATATCACTAACACATATTATGTCACTATTAAAAAACTAAAATAAATAAAATTATATTTATAGAATGACAACAATTTAGAATATATACGAGCCCGTGCAAAGCACGGGGTTAACACTAGTGTAATGGGAGAAAGACCAAACTAGGACTAAAACATTGAAAATATACCAAAATAGGACTTCCATGTTTTTATTCCCGAAATAGGACTTACATTACCAAACATGGTCATATACATTACCAAAAAAGTATAGTAATTTGCACATGTACACTACCACATTACCACAATGCAAAGTCACATTACCACAGTGCAAAGTCCTATTCCGGGAAAAAAATATGAAAGTCCTATTTTAGTACTTTTCTCTATGTTTTAGTCCTATTTAGGATCATTTCTATAGTGTAATGGTATAGGGGCGTGAGTGAGGGGGGTCATGCACTCAAGTAGGGTTGCAAAATGAAGGAATAGAATCTAATATTATAAAGTTTTATTCCTATTTGAAAAATGATACTACTCCCTCCGTCCGGAAAAGAAGTTCCCGATTTGACCTTTCCTCATTTTTAATATGTGTTGACTCTGAATGTAGTTTGTCTAAAATTCCCTTGATACCCAATGCCTGATTTGAAGGCTTGCAACTGCCCAGCCTCCAATTTCCGATTGGATTTGCCACGGCCACACCATCGCCACCCCAACTCCCACTACCACCAACCCCACCACCGCTCCCACCGCCGCAGCCTTTAGTCACCGTCGGTCCACCATCTTCGTTAGACCCCACCACCATCAATCCAACCCCACCACCATCAATCCAGCCCCACCATCACCGCTAACCCCACCACCATCGTCAGCGCCAACTCCATCGCCGCCAACCCTCGCCATCATCACCCAACTCCACTGTCATCGCCAGCCCTACCATCGCCCCAAACTGCCACCATCGTCATTAAGAATAAAATGATGATATTCAAAGCGTAGATCTGCATAGATCTACCGCAGATCTGAGAAGACAATTAGAGGCAGGGCCGTCTCCAAGAAATTATGGGCCCTGGACAACACCAAGAAAATTGGTTATCGTGTCATAATGAAGCAAAATCTATAAATTATATTTTTAATAATAAAAAAATAACTCTATACAATAGTAATAAGAATAATAAAACGTCAAGTGCGCAGTCTTATAAATCTATAATTACATACGTTAATAACTAGCCAAAGATTCCTGAAGGTTTTCTAGCACTTTTGATATCCAATTGGTTGATATAGGACTTTTGATATACTTTTTAAATATGTAAATTTTATAATTAATTTTACACTAATTTTTAAATAAAATGAATTAAAAATAATTACAATCAAACATTATAAACAATAATAGGTGATTTAAATTGAGAAAAAAAGTATATAAATAATTAAATAATAAATAAATATATGTAATACATTTACAAAAAAGTGGTGCCCCATCTATTATTGGGCCCTGTCCAAGAGGCCATCTTGCCCTTGGCTTGAGCCGGCCTTGATTAGAGGAATGAAGGAGAAAAAAAGAAAAAGAAAGGAGTAGGAGCTTATTTGGGGGAGAGAGAAGGGATAAAAAAGAAGGGGGATTCAATAGAGAAGAAGAAGAACGAGAGAAGGAGGAGGAGGAGAGAGAGAAGAAAAAGAAGATAGATCGGAAAGGTTGGCCTTTAGCAATGGATAAGAGCTAGGAGAAAAGATAAGTGAGTGTGTGGGGAGGGTATTTTAGGAAGAGTGGGTAAGAAAACGTATACTAGGAACTTTATTTCTGAACGAAAAAAAAGTAGAATGGGAACTTCTTTTCCGGATGGAGGGAGTATTATTTATATTCATATTCATTTTTTATTCGAATAATGTTGGAATTAAGTGTATTAACTAGCTCAAATTTTGTATTACATGATTAACTCCTATATATAGAAAATGAAAAACAAGTAACAACCAAAAATATCTTCCTAACTAACTAACAAACTATGTAACTAATCAACTAAACAAATGCTAAATGGTTGATTACACCAACAAATAAATATTATCATTCGTATTCGATTCGTTATTATATTAAATTCAAATATTTCATTTGTATTCATATTCGATTACGAAGTATAAAATATGAGTACAAATTTTGATTTTTTTAAACGTTTTATAGCTTTAAATTTTTAGGACTGTAACGTCTGAGAAAACGAGAAGATTGCTTAGCTGCACGACTATTAATAGATGTGTTTTTGCTTAAAAATAAAAGGAATGATGAGGTGTACCGCTCTCGTAGTGAAGTGAGTGAACTAGTGATTAACTTTTATACTATCAAGTATCAACTATGGAATATTGCACTAAAAACAAACTATGAAGTACTCTATATATTATACTTTGTATACATTGTGAAAAGTTATATTGGTTATGAATTTTTATATTTTTCTTCGAATATATTCGTTAATATATCGAATCGAATGCATATACATTCATATTCGTATTTGTTTTCTTTCGAATTCTAATAAATATTTATATTTTTATTCGTATTCATTTTTTCGAATACGAATAATTGATTTCGAATACGAATCACGAATCGAATCAAAATTATTCGTTCGTTTTACAGCCCTACACTCAAGTCCTTTCTCATGCTTCATAACACATGGTCTTAATAAAGAAATATTTGCACTAAATAGCACTAAAACTTAAGTCATTTTTCTTAATAGCACTTAAATTGTTTTTTCCTTAAATAGCACTTAATAATGTCAATAATGTCCAGTGATGGCAAATATTTGCTTGAATAATGACTAATGCATAATGACTAAAAGTGCTACATTGGGAAGAAAAATATATGTGGTGCTATTTAGGGAAAGTCATTATGTTTTAGTGTTATTTAAGTAAATTCCTCCTTAATAAATTGAGTAGTACGTGTTAATTCGCATGTTGCTTCATTAGTAAAGCTAGAAACAAATTGAAATCTAAAGTTTTCGTTACCAGTTTATTTGATACTTTCATCATTTTTTGGTTGTTGCAAATCGTTTGATGTTCGGGGATGTCCGTTCTATTTCTATTTTTTTTCTCTGAGTTGTAAAATTATATACATGTCATCCAAAAAACAAAAACAAATTGAAACCTAACATCTTCAATACAAAGTTTTTAAAGACATTTATGATTATTAATAATCGAATAGAAATAAGACCAATTACATGCACATTAAAAAGATTATTTAAATTTCAGGTAGTTCCTTCATAGCAATAGGCAACACTACAAAATTACTCTCTCTGTCCGAAAATGCTCTTGGTCAAAGTTTGTAAACTTGGACTCTGATATGTGGAAAAAATATATTGTATTACGATGTACATATAATATCAATATATTCTTATTGAAACGTAGTATTCCCTTTCAAATTTTTATAAAATGTATCTATGTATAAATATAAATGTGAATGGCTAAAGTGTAACAATAAAGACAGTAAAAATTCAAATGAAAAGAATATTTCAGGATGGAGAGAATATTTAATACCCACTATTCAAACTATGCTAAATTTTAGACTAGTAGACGACTATATGGCAATTTTGTTGACATTTTTGTTTTTTACCGGGGGTAATTCACGAAAGAATCGCCAAACAAAGTTCATATTCTGGAGTAATTAGTAAAAAAGTCAACGGAAAACTTTTTTTTTGAAGAAAAAATTGTTGATTTTTAGATTAGTTACTTTCCTATTTTCATATTGAAAAGTAAATCACATTTTGCTAATTTCTTTTTTTATCATAATGCGGAGTAATATGGGATGCTTTTTGAATTTGGTCCTGCATTTGGATTGTGAGAAAAATAAAGATAAAGAAATGTTAGATTGGAAAACACGAAAATCAATACAAATTCAATTATTTGGATATATGAGAGAAGGGAAAAGGATCAACTAAGAGTAAAAAAACACAAAAAAAAAAAGCGAAATAAGATGTTCCTTGGTGGCCTCCTAGGGTGTAGGAATCTCAAGCTGCTCCTTGCAATTCCGCGCCTAAGTCCTGTGGCGACAGGGGCAGAGTATGAGTCTGTCAGAGGCCGAGTATGAGTTTCGCTTATGCTGGAACCGCCTTGCCCAGGCAGACGGCTGAGGTAGATTCCATGCTAGCGGGCAGAGGCCGATCATAGATATGCTGCTGAGTATGGCTATAATGATGAGGTGTCCCTTCGATCCGAAAGCTCCTGCAGGGTTTACTTCCTAAGTCGAGTATGATTCATTTTGCACTTAAGAAAACCCTCTAAATAGGAGCAAAACATGTGTTATATCCTCAAAGTATGAGTCCAAACTTAAACTCCTCTAAATAGGAGTAATAACTATTTTTATTACTTAAAGAATAGAAGTATTCACGGGTCATTCATTTTCTTTTCGTCATTAGGTCCCCATCGCCCCGTCGATTCACTACGCCATTGCCTCCTCCGCTACCATGCACCCCATCCATCTCAGATCTCCCTTCCACCGCCCACCCCTTTCTTCAATCGATTACAATCACCACTGCCGCCACCGTCATTCAATCGCTGCCACCATGCATGCCCCTCACGTCTCTCTGATTCATCGTTGCACCGATGCCTAGCCTTCCCACCTCCATCTCCCTCCCTCAAAGCCTGATTTCAAAAGTGAGTAAGTTCTCTCTCGATCTTTGGTTGAATTTTATTTTCTTTAAATTTTGTCACCAAAAAATCGAGCATTGCAAGATTTGATTTGGCGTCATGCCTTGTGACATTTGTGAATTCACATTGTGGCATTATATGCGGGCATTTGTAGCATTATATATTGTCATGTATGGCATTATATATTTGTAGCATTATACATTGTGCCATTATATACATGGTGGCATGTTTGCCATTATGCATTTTCTTGGCATTAGATATTGTCATGGATGATATTATGTGGTGTCATGTTTGGCATTATACACTTATTTGGCATTAGATTCGGTTTGGCATTATGCTCGTGAATTCATGATGTGGCGTTATGTATTGTCATGTGTGGTATTATGTGATGTCATGTTTATCTTTCTGTAACACTATATTGACAATTAATGAAGAGTGTGACAATAATTATGCAAATTGTAATGCAAGTATCTTAAGTGCATATGAGACCATATCACGTGTGAAATCACAAGCATAATGCCAAACATCCAGGGGCGGAGGGAGGGGGGGCTGCCGGGGCACGTGCCCCCCGGCGAAGAGGCGTGACCTGCTATGTCAGGCAACGGCGGTCGCAGTGCCCCCCGCGGTAGAGTCGCTTCCGGATTGGCTTGCTTTGAGTTTTCCGATCTTCTTTCAAACAAGGGTAGATGATTTTTTAAAAGCAAAAACAAAACGGCGTCGTCACTCTATTAGATAGACCATGCGGCTCCAATTGGTCATTTTTTGTTTTTCACTTCGACTGGGCCTTTTTTAAACAAAAACCCCCCATTCATCCCAAATGTAAAGTGAAGATTGAATAAAGATTCATATTTTAATTGTTTTTTTAAAAATTTGGTTCTGTTTTTTCTATTTAACTTCATTTGGTGTTTATTAGAGTGTAATATGTTGTCCAAAAAAACTACTCCTCTATCCAAAAATATTCTCCCCGTTTGACTCTTTATTGTCTCGAATGTTGCACTTTGACCATTAATATCTATATTTATATATGTATATATATTTTATAAAAATTTGATATATCAAAACTACGTTAGAATAAGAATATATTGATATTAATTTTATATTATAATACAATGTATTTTTTTCTACATATCGGAGTCAAAGTTTACAAATTTGACCAAGAAAAGTCAAATACAAAAATCATTTCTGGATGGAGGGAGTAATTTTTTCTCATTTTGAAAAAAACATATAAGTAATAATAATATTATTATATTGTTATATTTGGAATGATTTGAATCATATTCCCTCCGATCTTTAAAAAAATTTATGTTTTAACTATTTTTTATACAGAGTATTTTTGATTTGTCAAAGAGTATAATTATTTGACCAAAAAAATCAAATTAAGAAATGTTTTTAGGATTGGACGAACTACTATTTTTTATAAAAAAATCCACGCCCCGAACCCCTTGTAGTGTGCCCCCCCCCCCGCTCGCTAGCTTCTGGCTCCGCCACTGCAAACATCTATTATTCGTCGAAAGTGAATTCACATGTATTGCTTTCCAAGGGAAAAATAAACTATTGCTTTCTAGTTGTGCTAAGTGGACAAGCACTTGAATTTTTTTGAAGGACAAGCAGTTGTGTTAATATTATTCACCCGAGTGAATTCACATGCATAATGCCATAGTGTGATATGATAAAATAGCACACTAGGTTCAATAGTCAATATTCTTATATTGATTTTAAGGTAAGGGCCATTAACTCATATTTTGGAGATCTTATCTTTCTTTTTTGAACTTTTATTCAAAGATATCAAGGCAATGGCAAATATTGTTTAACACAAACAAATAGTAGATAAAATCATAGTGACAAAGAACAAATCTTAAGAACAATTGACATTTCCTTGAGAACAATTTCATTGGTAGTATACCTCAATGGGACATAATCTTGGGATTGATTGTCTTGTTGAACCACGTCTTCTAGATGTTTACTTCTTGAGTTCTTCGGAGCTTTTTGATCCGCCCCATCGCCAGCTCTCTCCTATTGAGGCTTCTTCGATAGCACAATTTTTTTAACCCCAAGAGATCTTTCAACTCCTATTTTGAGAATTTTATCTTTTAACTCCTATTTTGAGGTTTGATCAATGTTTTACTCCTATTTTGGTCCTTAACCCTTTGCACTTTCGTGCTGGACCTGTTAATTATATTGATGGACCGGATACCCCCAGTCTAGGACTCTAGGGTATCCATCACCATTGATCATAACTAAAAGTGGTCCTAAACGGATCGGATGTATGATTACTAAATCCGTATCCGCTTAGCAATAGGATATGTTTAATCGGATACAGATAATAACCGCTTTTAACGGATGCAGATATTCTCTATATAAACAAATACGGACGGTAATCAAAATTTCAGTAATCCATTTACAGCCCTACAAAAGGGTTCAAAATTATCATCATCATGATTTATCTTCACACTTAAACTTGCAGATAAAACCAAGCAAATCAACAGTTATTGTGTAATTATATTCATTTCCCACCAGATTTACCGGCCCACCGTGTACAAGTTTTCACAAGTTCTCTCTCTCTCTCCCTGTTATTCTCCTCCCAAACAGAAGGTATGTCTCAACTTAAATTCTTTATTCAACATTCATTTTGACCCACCAAATCATATCAAGTTGAGATTATACTGATCGAATTTATTGTTCTAAAATGTTACAGTGTCAAAATTTGTTTTCTTTGTTTATTTTTATTAGTTATTTAATAAAATAATATAATCAGATCACCCCTTGTTTCGTATAACTTTTGATTAATTTTTTAATATGTACAATTTATTTTTTAATTGCGTTCCAACTATCTAATAAATTGTAGGCAAAGTTGACAACAATACCCCCAGAAATTACAAATTTTACATAAATACTCCCAAATTTATTTATTTACACCATTACTCCCATATTTTTCTTTTATTTACATCATTACTCCCAAATTTGGTAGTGGTCATTAGTATTACTTGAATGTATCTTTTTTGCACTAAGTGAGCAGTTGAAATGCAAACATGTATTTTTTTCACTCTAATATACCAAATTCATCTCAACTCATTTTCTCCATTGCCTTTCTCACGTGTTAGTAACCGTAATCATTGCCCTTATTTCCCATCACTTTTTTAAAAAAAATCAGATTTCTAACTTCCTAAATCTTTTTAATGTTTAATATCAAGTTTGTTCATATTAATTTAATTTGAATTCAATAAAAAAAGATGAAGAACCCCGTTTAAAATGACGCACCCGAGGAACACTGGTGAAGTAATCGCGGAGTAACGACGTAAATAAGAGACAAATGTGAGAGTAACTGTGTAAACAAACAACTCATTAAGGAATGCACATGTGGCATGCCATATGTCAACACTCCAAGAAATTAACCCAACTTTACATATATACTAGTATTTCTATCCGTGCCACGCACGGGTTCGGACGAAGTTTTTTTCGATTCTACAATGTGGATCTTGATTTTTATTTGGCATATTATTTAAAGGTCAAATATAAATGATCTAGATTTGATGTATTTCTACAAATCTATAATTTTTCTCTCTGTATAATTCCAAAATATATTTAAATAAAAAGTATAAGTGATCCTGTAACACCCTAATCCGTCCAGGTCTGCAGCCCCATTCGGACTAAAGTATTTAACTTGGTAATCGTAAAATTTAAAACTTTTCATAACATATACAGTACGGAGTATTTAACAATATTGCGGAAGCGAATTTAATATTGACATATCATAAATTATTTCAAAACTTGTCACATCCATCCTGACAATCTCGCCCCATCTGCCGCCAGGATCACATTAATCTTTCTGTTTACCTGCGTGTAGCAAATAAAACACACTACACGCTCAGCGGTGAAGCTGAGTAAGCATATCTAAAACGTCGAACATCCACATAAATTGAATCTCAATTCATAATCAACCATTTGATATCATGCACACAA